GTACATTAGAATAGGAAGAATGAAATTAGCAAGGGCGGTAGATTGGTACAATACACGGTGTCGTTAGATACATAGATAGAATAGTACTGTTAGATAGATGGAATCTACACGTCACTTGACACAGAGAGACACAAACAAATATACACACAAACAAACTAACAACAAGAACAGTAAACACAGAAACAATAAATTCAACAAACAAACAAACAGACATGTAGAGAAACAGATCCGTTGGAAAAAAAACTTATTAATCAGATCACGAATATATTAAAGAAGGGTTTTCACAGATCCACCTCATTTTCATGTTAATGTGACGCAAATAGAACAGTCCCCCCCCCCTTAAATACTAAATTACATTTTTTATATTTACGTAAGAAACAATGATATGAAATGATATAAAAAAAAACAACCTCCCCTATATTATGTCCTTTATCTTTACGTAAGAAATAATACAATATAAGATAATGTAGAAAATGTGCCGCAAATAGAAAAGTCCCCCCCCCCTCTTAAATTACGTTTTTTTTTTCATCTTTTCGTAAAACGCCTTGTAAGAAATAATATAAAAATCCTTATGAGGAAGAATTTAAGAGGAAAAAGAAAAGGAAAAAAGAAAAAATGGAATTAAAAAGAATGAAAGCCATTAGAGGAAAATTATTTAAAAAGGGTTTAGAGGTAATTAGATTAAGTAGCGTTAAGTAAAGTGAAGTTACTTTATAAGAGAACTAAAATTGGACGATGTGAAAGGAAGGGAAATGGGGCAGAAAGGAAGTGAGATTAGTGAGGCGTAGATGAGGTGAGAGTGCGTGAGGGCGGAGAAAGGAGGGGAAGTGAAAAGGGAAGATGAGGTGAGGTGAAGTGAAGCTCCGTGGGACTTCGTGAGGGTGGAGAAATGAGGAAAAAATGAAAGGGAAAGGTGAAGAATGAGAAAAGTGAAAATGGGAGATGAAGTGAAGTGAAGTGAGGCTGTTTAGGAGATCGTGAGGTCGGAGAAATGAGAAAAGTGAAAATGGAAAATGAGGTGAGGTGAAACGAGGCTCTGAGGGAGGTCGTAAGAGTGGAAAAATGAGGGAAAATGAAAAGAAAAGGTGAGAAGAAATTATGTAAAGTAAAGATGGAGAAATGAAGTAAGAGAAAGTAGAGATAAGCACATGCGATGATAGGAAGGTGATGCAAAGAGAAATGAGGCAAATTAGGTTTTCAGAGGCTTCATGAGGGAAGGGAAGGGAAGTAAGAGGAAGGGATAAAGCGAGAACAAGAGAAGAGATGATAAGAGGTAGTGCAAAGGGAGGTACAGTCAAGACAAATACCTGAGGGGGAAGGTGAGGGGAAGGGAGAAGGAGAAGGAGAGGGAGACGGAGAGGGAGAAGGAGAAGGCGAGGGAGAAGGAGAAGCAAGAGAAGAGTAGGAGAGGAGGAGAGAGAGGGAGAAGGAGAGGTAGAGGGAGACGCGGAAGCAGGAGAAGAGTGAGAGAGGAGGAGAGAGAGGGAAAGGGAGAAGAAGGATAAGGATAAGGAGAAAGAGAAAGAGAAATAAAAAACGAAGGAGATAAAGAAGGAGAAGGAGAGGAAAAAAGGAAGGGTAAGAAAAGAAATGGAGGGGAAAGGAATGGCAGAGGAAGGGATGGGAGGAAAGAGGGAAAGAGAAAGAAAGGATAAAAAGGGGAAGAAGAAAAAGTAAGAGAGAAAGTAGGGGTGGGAATGACAGAGGGAGAAGAAAACGTAAATAAGAAAACAGGAAGAGAGGCAAACAAAGGAAGACACAAAAGAAGAAAAAGAAGAAGAAAACGAAGGAGAAGAAGGAGGAGAAGAAGAAACACGAACAAAAAGAAGAAGAAGAAAAACGAAGAAGAAGAAAAGGAAAAACGGAGAAGAAGAAATAAAAAGAAGAAAAGAAGAAAAAAACGAAGAAGAAAAAAAGAAAGAAGAAAAAGAAGAAGAAAGAACAAAGAAGAAGAAAACGAAAAGAAGAAGAAAAAATAGAAGAAGAAGAAAAAAGAAGAAGAAGAAGAAGAAAAACGAAGAAGAAGAAGAAGAAAAACGAAGAAGGAGAAGAAGAAAAGCAAACGCGAACAAAAGGAGAGACCAGAAGGCTTCCCAATGCACCGTATTTGTTCAAGAGCAAGAACAAACATCCCGTAATGCCTCTTTGCATATTGATAGACATGCTCTGTGTACATTAGGGTTTGAACAAATACTTACATACTGCAGGTACACACAGAAACTTACATACGCCATGCACGTAAAAAAAAAAAAAAAATGTAATATATATTTTCTGTTTCGTTAATTTTCCCCCAAATGTTGGTTATTAGGAACTTAATGATATGGTGTGTCCAGTGCAAACTTAATTTCGGGTTAATTGCTGTATTATCGTCTAGCAATTTGCAAGGTTATAAAGCCTAAATTATCTGTGCAGTTTGGTCATATAGTCGGTTATTTAAGAAGTGATTTATATTTAAAAAAAAGAAAAAAAAAAAAGAAAAAAGAAAAAAAAAGTCAGAAGT